ACACATTAAATTGATTAAAAGTGACAAAAGACATTTATAATGGGTACGAAAAAAATTCAATTTGAAATAAATCTTTATATTCATCAAAACATCCAGAAAAAAATGTATCACAGTTTTCTCAAAAATCTTTAAAAAAAAAAATATTAGGCAGAAAAAGCTGTTTTCAACATTGATAACGATAAGAACCATTATTAATAATTGAGCACCAATAATAATTGAGCAGCAAATCAGCATATTAGAATGGTTTCTGAAGGATCATGTGACTGGAGTAATGATGCTGAAAATTCAGCCTTGCATCCCAGGAATAAATTACATTTCAAAATATATTAAATTTGACTAAAAAGGATCTGAGAGATGATCCAGAGGTGCTGAAGAAGCTCAAGGAGAAGAACCTGTCGGTGGTGTCCCAGCAGCAGGGGTCGGCGCTGGCCCGACAAATCCAGGCCAGCAAGTACATGGAGTGTTCAGCGCTCAACCAGGACGGGGTGAAGGAAGTGTTTACGGAAGCTGTTCTCGCTTTCCTCAAACCCAAATCTCAAGCCCGCAAGAAATCATGCGTGCTACTATAAATGGGACGGGACCAGAACATATGTATTTTTACTGTATATGGGGTATTTGTTTTGTCACATGTACATATGAACAAAAACCACACTTAATAAAAAGTACTTTACATTATACAACAAAATATCATACCAAGTGGTATTTATTTTCAAATAATAAAACAATAGAAATACACTGTAAATGCTCAAAATACTTAAACAAATTAGATCAAACAAACAAACTCTTACGTGTTAAGAACTTTCTCTTTTGTGAGTGCACAAAACTGACACATTTTAAGTCAGTGTTTTGAATTTTAATGAACTCGTTTCTTTGAATTTAGAGGAACTTGAATTTAACTGAAACTGGGCTGGGGATTTCTATTTCCCAGCACGCTTTGCCATGGCACTCAAAAGGGAGAGTACATGCTAAAATTAAGTTTGTTTGTTTGTTGTGCAAGATTTTGGAATGGGGGATTTAGTAGTGTTTAATGTTTTGTTGTGCTAATTTAGAAGAGTATCTGTTTGTGACAAGTTGAGCATAAGAAGGTATACTGTATGTTAAATGTTCTGTATTGCCTTACTTATTAAAGGTGCAATAGGTGATTGTCTTCAGAAACATTTTTTGTTATGCTGGTTGAAAGTCTCTTCACATCCCGATAGCAATCATTAAGTTAAGTGGTCTAAATGTATTTGTCTGTATTTATATATTCTGTGGAAGGTGTAGGATCAAGAAATGTTCGTCTAATCAAAACGTTCGGTCCGAGCGTTTTAATATGCTTTCCTACCTGCCTCTCAACGTATGTATTAGCATACCTCTGCACACCCAGTTCGCGCAGACAGGATACGTCATCAGCGCATTCACGCACGCTGTGCAGACAGAGCGAGGATGGCAGGCAAACATCAACAAGCCGATCTTCCTTCCTGGTATTGTAGTACTTTTAAAGATTTCTCACCGGTGAATGACACATGATGTAGCCCAGCGGTTAATCCAGTCCTCGCGCCAGCTCGTTAGAAGTGAGCTACGTGCATGAACTGTGTTCCGATCGATATGATCCCTACACAGAGTTCATTGCTCCCTACTCCCTGAGCAGGGGAAATCCGTTGAAGTTTACTTCACTTCGGAACATGGGCTGGAATTGGGAACCTGATGTAGCCTATTGTAGTAATGTTGTCTCTGGTCTGTGAGTGTAAATGCGTTCAGGGGGCGTGGCTTTGGACGGCGATTGCAGGAAGGGTGGGACGTTCGCTTTCAGTGCTATCAGGCTAAAGTTAGCATTTTCCAAGATCTCCTATTGTACCTTTAAGCTATTGCTATGCCAATCAAAGTCTTGTGTTACTTAGCATTTTAGCATTTAGCTAGTTATAGTTTAAATTTCCACTACTAAAATATTTAAATTGAGATTAAGAGATAATTTTAGTTGAAGTGTAATCAAAATGTATGAGTTACAGTAGCTTA